CCTGTCTGCTTCCTCCTGTCCTGGGCCTTGTCCCAGCACACCCCCAGGACCATCCACAGAGAGGCAACGCCGTGCATCGGAGATGACACACTTCTGCACAAGCCCCTTCCAGTCTTCCCTCCTGCCCTGGCAACCTGGCTGGAGAGTCACTCTCCCCAGCATTAGGGCACCACCCAGCATTCTGCTCTAGGTCATGACCGAGGAGCCTGGGGGAATCTGGGTCCCGTCCCATGCGCCTGCCAGTCCCTCCATGGCCATCTGGGAACTCCTCCTTCCCAGAGCTGATCTCGGTGTGCTAAGTGGCAAGTCCTGAGGCCACCTGGTGGGTCCACCCTCCTTGGCTATGTCCTTGGGACATTTTCTCTGTTTTCTTGGCCACACTCTTTCCTGTTCTCTCTGCTCTCTTTCTTCCTGGATTGGCCCTGTCCTTCCCACCTCCTCCCCTTACTTCTTGTCTTTGCTTTTTTGTTCTACTTTCAGAGAAATTTCTCCAACTCTGTCCTCTAGCACATTAGTGATTCTCCTACATCAACAACCAAATGTTTCCTTCCTAAGAGCTGGCTTTTGTGTTTTATGTACAGTAAAATCAGGAAACCTACAAGACAAAGTCTACAAGAGCTGCAGCACCCCAAGAGTTGCTCTGAGTCTCATCTCTGTACATCCTGCGCAACACTGCCTTTCCCAGAGCCCTGCTCTTGCTTCCAGTCCTGCCACCTTCTGGTCTCCAATGACGAGGGCTCTCACTCTGGCCAGCAACTCTCCCCAGATGTGGAGATCTCCGGCTGCTCGCAGTGAGGGGTGCGTGTGGCAGTCCTCCTCCAGAGGCCCGTTTCTGCAGACAAGACTCCCTCCCTGTGTGCACGGGCAGAGCAGAATTCAGGGAGGGCAGCTGTTCTCACCTTCTGGGATGAAGAGTTTCACACAAAACCCGTGCTTCAGTGTCACCTCATCCCTGCCTGCCTCTGGCTACCTGGCTCAGATGGCCATGGAGGGAAAGACAAGCACATGGGATGGGGCCCAGATGCCCCCAGGCTCCTCAGCCATGGCCTGGAGCAAGACACTGGTCAATGCCCCAGGCATGGGTAGAGCAACTCTCCATCCAGGGGGCCCAGGCAGGAGAGGAGAAGGAAGAGGGATCCTGCAGAAGTGTGACGACCCTGGCTTCCCCAAGAGTACCCCCATCTCCAGGGGCTGTGGCAGGGAAAAGAGCAAGGCAAATCTGGGCTCTCACTGCTCGAGACCAATTCCCAAGGTCGCCACCCACCCAGGCGCCACTGTCCTATAGTCCCTGGCACTTGCATGCTGTCCTCTCAGGTTCTCCAGGGAGCCTGTTCTCCTCTGCTCTTCACACCCCTCAGGGAGTGGCCTTGCTCAGAGTACAGGTGTATCCTGGTTCCATCCAAAATGGAATCTGCAGTTCAGCTCCTTATTTTCCTTAACTTTTGACTAGAGACATGGTCAGAAAACCACTCTTCATTTTTTTCTTCCTTCGACGTCCCCTGGGTTTCCTCCTACATTCTTTTCCTAATGCACTGAGATGAACCTGATTTATTAATCTCGCAATTCTTTTCTTGCACACTTCCCATTCCTCCGCAAGCTGAATACCACAGGTTCTGACAAGCATGTTGTACGTTCACTTATTCAACAAGTAGATTACTCACATCACTCTGCCCCAGATGCTACTTCAGATGGTTGGCCAGTATCGGTGAGCAGAACAAACAAGATCCTGCCCTGCAACTCACATGAGCACACCCCATGGCAATTTCCCCTCTGATCCATGAAACGGCAGAAGTACCTTTAGTTTCCAGACATTAAAGACATTAGAAGATGGTGGGTTAGTCAGGATTCTCCAGAGACAGAAGCAGCAGGACATGGGAGGGGATTCGAGAAATTGCTCATGCGACCACAGAGGCAGAACGCCCATGGCAGGCCATCTGCAAGCTGGAGAACCACAGAAGCTGGCAGTGTGGTCCACATCTGGAAGCCTCAAGCCCAGGGAAGCTGAGCCCCAGTCAGAGCTGAAGGCCCATGAGCCCCTAGGAGGCTACTGGTACAAGTCCCAAAAGTCAGAGACACTGGAGTCTGCTGTCCAAGGGCCAGGGGCAAAAGATATCCCACTCCAGGGAGAGACAGAGCCGAGGGAGAACCCCTGCTCCCCCACTTGTATGTCCCCACAATGGTGCCACCCATACCGAGGGCAGACTTCTTCTCAGTCCAGTGACTCACAGACACACCCAGTAACAGTCCTTCCCCAGCATGGGGGTGGGGGTGTGTGTGTGTGTGTGTGTGTGTGTGTGTGTGTGTGTGTGTGTGTGTGTGTGTGTGTGTGTGTGTGTACACGCGCCTTCTCACTCCCAAATCCACCATGCTGGCACTGTAAGAAGGAGGTGATTCTTTGGAAGGCATGACAGTTTTTCGCACAGCCATCATCAAGTTCACTTTCTGTGAGTGCTCCCATGTTTACCTTTACTATTGGTCTTTAAAGAGCACGTTCCATAGCAGCTGGCAGGGACAAGGTTGTCAATTCTGCGCTTAAGTCTCCTGTGGGTTCACTAAGCTACCTGCCTCATAAGTCAGCTTCCGACATGTGACCTGCATGGCTCTGTCCACCTCCTGCCGAGTGTTTAAATCTATTTTTGCAGCTCTGCCATCAGTGCAATGAGCTTCCACACAGTTACACGCCTGAGAGCCACTCATCTCTGCACTAACAACAATTCTCCCTAGTGACTCTTCTGCTGTGATATCCCAGTAGACAGGTTAGGAGACAGGCTAGATGCCATGAAGGAAGACCTGGCATCATGAATGGAAAGGGACACGTGAGAGAGCATCCAGAACATACCAGGGGCATGAGAGAACCACAAAGGAGGATGCCAGAGGCCAGAGGAAGGAGATGCAGAAGCCACAGCACACCTGACACCCGCTCTCAACCCCTCGGGTGCCCAATCTCCTTTTCATGCTGCTCATCACTGACATAGCCTATGTTCCCTTACACCTGTGTCCTGGCACCCACCTGCAGGACCTGCTGGCCCTGGTGACAGCCATTTCTCTGGTTTTCTCCTGTGTGCTGATGTCCATCTGTGGGACCTCCTGGCCCTGGTGACAGCCATTTCTCTGGTTTTCTCCTGTGTGCTGGTGTCCATCTACAGGAACTGCCAACACTGGTGATGGCTGTTTCTCTGTTTTTTTTCTGTGTCCTGGTGTCCATCTGTGGGACCTGCCGACCCTGGTGACAGCTGTTTCTCTAGTTTTCTCCGATGTCCTGGTGTCCATCTATGGGAATTCCTGGCTCTGGAGATGTTCGTTTTCTGGTTTTCACTTGTGTCCTGGCACCCATCTGTGGGACCTCCCGCCCTGATGACAGCCATTTCCCTGGTTTTCATCTGTGTCCTGGTGCCCATCTGTAGGACTTGTCAACCCTGGTGATGACTGTTTCTCTGGTTTTCACCTGCATTCTAGTGCCCATCCGTGGGACCTGCCAGTCCTAGTGACAGCCATTTCTCTGGTTTCACCTGTGTCCTGGTACCCATCTGAAGGAACCTGCTGGCCCTGGTGACAGCCATTTTCGGTGCGTCTCATACTTCACAGAGCTCGTCTTCTAGCAGAGGTTCTCCTCCTGGCAATGGTATCTCTTGAACATGTTTTCACACAGCCAAATTGTGCTTCCACCCCTGCCAGGGCCCATGTGTTCCACTGGTCCCAGACTACTCGCTCCATGAACTTTCCACCAGCATTCACACACCACCTCACCCTTTCACCCACATGCACCCTAAGAGCTGCATATCCTCCTTAAAGCCTTCTCCCACATCTCCCAGAGGCTCGGGCCTCTGCCAAGCATGCTGGCGCTCTCCAGGGAGGGAGGTGGAGCCCATCTAGTCCTTTTCCCCTAAAGTTCCCAGTCACAGCTCCTGACAGCACATAGCCCCAAGGACAAACGAACTCAGGCCCAACAGGTTCCGGGGCACTCACTTTCACTCAAACACCTGAGACCTCCGTTTATTTCAAGTGCAGCTAAGTATCTGTGAAACTATTCTGTCTATAAAGACTATTATTGGCTGGGCGTGGTGGCTCACGCCTATAATCCCAGCACTTTGGGAGGCTGGGGTAGTGAAATCACTTGAGCCCTGAAGTACAAGACCACCCTGGGTAACATAGTAAGACCCCATCTCTAAAAAAAATTTTTAAATGGTGGTATGTGTTTGTGGTCCCAGCTACCAGGGAGGCTGTGGCGGAAGGATCACCTGAGTTCAGGAGGCTGAGGCTGCAATGAACCATGACTGTGCCACTGCACTACATACAGCCCAGGTGACAGAGGGATACTCCAACTAAAAAAAAAAAAAAAAAAAACACCCAAAAAACTATTATCTAGCACTTTTATCCTCAGAGCAAGAACAAGACCAATGTCAACTCCATTCTCCACTACCTGAAGTCTGACACATTTCCCACATAGAATATTAGTTTGGGTCACTCTTCTGGCTGGTACCCACCTGCTGCAGAAGGAAGGGTGCTGGGTAAAAACTAGATAGGACTCGGCTCTCAGCCCACCCAGCCACCCATGCTGTGCTGCTGACAGTATCTGGCATCTCGCCCCACACCATCGGCTGTGAGTACCCAAAAGAGAGGTACATGGCCATAAACGTCACCAATACCAGGTACGTGGCAGTTGTTCATAACTGACTTATAAACAGACTGAATTTTCTATTACTTTTCCTAACCCCAAACTAAGTTCCCAGTATCCTGAATCAATTGAGGAAGGGTTTACAAAGCCTGTCCAATCTAAGACACAAAGTCACAAATCCTGTCACCGAAACACTTCCAAAGTATGGCTTCTTCCCAGGTAAAACGCAGGCCACATGTGTACATGCCACTCCCCTTCTGTCCTCCATCTGCTCACCTCCCAGCTGACACTATGGACTCAGTGGCACTTGTTCTACTTTTAATCACGTGTACCAGTGTCACCATGCTCCCCAAAGCTGCAGGTCTGGGGGAGCATCTGCACTCACCATCCAGCTTCATCTGCTCCGGGCAGTAGTAGTGGATGACGGCCAAGAGAGCGGCGCCGTCGCTGCCATCCCGCATCAGGTCCTCCAGCACCGGGAAGTAGGGGGCCTGCCTCGCAGAGAGGTGCTCTCGCCGGTAGCGGACCTGCATCGACACAGGAAGTGTGCTGCCCGTGCCGCCTCTTCCCCACGCATCACAGGCACGCACGGGTGAAGCAGGGCACGTGCCCATCGAACTGCGGGCCATAGCCGCTGGAGCCCCACACGTCTGGAGCAGTGCTCTGCCAGGACCGGACATGTTTAGGCCCAGGAACTGGGCTTCATGGCTACTGGGTGCCAGCAGTCAGGCACCAACAGTGTCGGTCAGTCTTAAGCCAACTGACACCGGTGGCCCCGGGGCAGGCACACGTGGGGAAGGAGATGGAAGCATGTCTACGCTACCGAAAGCCGACACACTACACACTGATGAGAAACAAGTTAAGTGGAGCATGTATGAATGCTCGGAAGGCCCAAGCTGCTGGTGTTGTTCTATGCATCACCATCATTAGTCTCGGGCATTAAGAAAAATAGAAAGAGCATTAACATATAGAGTGAGAAATTTCAGAAACTAGGTTAGACAAAATTTCCCATAATACAACCACCAGCTGCTCTCATTACTGCCACGAAGCACAAGGACACAAAATCCCAGCACAGTGCTCCACAAAACAGGTGCCTGCTCAGGGCTTCTGCACGCGTGACCAAGAAGAGGCTGTGTGTGGCATCCTGAGTGCCACCAGCCCTCGGCTTTGCTCCCATGGCCAAGTATCCCCTTTCCAAGAGCCCGACATGCAGGCTGCTATGGGAAGGCCCTGGACCCACTGCCAAGACCCACACGCTGAAGCGTTCTGCATTAACATCTACGAGACAGTGTTAAGATGCGGCGTTTCCTGTCAGTCACATTGTCTCCCTGGGGAAAAATACACAATCCAACTCTAGGAAGAACACCAGCAGTCTACCATAAAAAGTATCGACTTCTGCAAGTTATGCAGCTGAGTTCAACTCCAGGAAAAATTGTCTCTAGAATCTATAATTTCAAGTTGTCATGTCAATAGGTATAGTGTAGAACAATCAATATTGATGTTTAACACAAAACATTCCTAATGTTCCCTTAAATTTAGCAATAAGCCCTCTTTTATATCAATAAATTGTTTCGACACCCACTTGAACTTGTTTCTCGGAGCCCACGGACACTACCACACGTGACCCGCCTCATACTGTACCACACGTGCAAATTCCACGGGCTCCAGCATGCAGTGCACCACGGCATGCGCCAGGCCAGGCTTCCACGGGACACAACACGAGGGTGACCGCGGCATGCAGTAAAGCAAATGGAGTCTTGAGTACAGATGGATGGCGTGAGTGGAAGGAACTATGAGGGTCCGGGAGCGCGTGTAGTTCCTTGCAAGCCAGAGTTTCATCCTCTGGGCTATGCAGAACCTCTGCACCTCCGAGCTGCCCAGGCCTTCCCGTGCTCGCCCTCCCCAGCCTATGTGCTGCACAATGCAGCAGGACAGTTACAGCTGTAAACTGGCTAAGAAAGGAAGCTATAAGGGACACTGCTCTTGGTCACACTTCTGTTTGTATAAAACCCTCCGCTGAAACCTTGCTCCGTGGGACAGCTGGGTTCTGGAGCCCTCAACAAGTCACGAGATTGCCTTCATATTTCGCTCTTTAGCTTTCAGGAGACACGAAGTTGAAAGAACCATAAATATTCACTTAAATGCTTTCTTCTTCTTTCTTACTAACATATTACACAAAGAGAAGCACAATGATCCACCAGCTACGAAGCAGGAGATATTACTGCTCAAACGGATCCCACTCGCCAGCGTCCATTCACGGCTATCCCCCTTATGACAGAACTCAGCCAACAATGTGACTAAAGAGCACAGGCGATTAAAGGGGCACACATAAGACCACCTGCCAAAAGGCACATGCCCAGAAGTTCCCGTGAAGGCCACAGTGGGCACACCGGGACTTCCTCCCCGGGAACCAGGGACACTGGCTCTGCTTCCAGAGTGGGCCACCAGGTGCGGCATGGTTAGGCTGGAAAACCAAATCACTGGTTTTCAATTTTTCTCTTTATGTGAGAGTTCACACTGGACTCCAGAAATCTTGTGTCTGCACTGACCTAACTCAGACCCCTGTGGCACAAGGGCATGTCCTTCCATTTTGGGCAGCTCAAGGCCGCAGGAGTGGCCACATCACACAGGGAGGAAGACGGGAACCTGAGACCCAGTGAGGGCTCTTCTCTGCGCCCACTAACCAGCCTCTCACCAGCCCCTCTGCCTAACTGACCACGCAGCTCATGGGCATTAACAGATGTCATGCTGATGCCAGAGTCAGGCAAGGCAGCATCAGAAAACAACACAGAAGAGCGACTTGGGCAGCTAGATCCCTCGCTATTCCTTCTGGTGTCTACTAGAAAAGAGACTGCACCCTGACATTTATGTGCACACTGCCACTTTGAAGTAACTGAGGGCAAAATGCAACTCATGGTTCCAAAGCGCCACATGACAAAGCCAACCAGCTCAGATTAGGCCAGCACTGGTACTTTATAAAAGTGTCAAAACAACCCCAAGATGGACATTTACAAACAAAAATCCAGTTCTGGATACAAGTGGTTTTAATGAAAGCAAGTGATCGAAACATGATGGCTCTGGAGATGGCAGCTGTGGCTGTGGTCACTTACGGGTACTAACTTCCAATACCACTTGGAGGGAGACTGCTTGGGAGGAGAGAGAAGGCAGGAGAGGAGCATCAGCACAACAGCCACGTGTGGACACAGGAGACCCCTCCCCACGGCATCCCAGCAGAGGCAGGAGAGCCTCTAACACCTTCCAGGTGCACATGGCCAGGACGGGGCTACCAGGGAGCTAAGGTAGAAGGTTGCAGTCACCGACATGCTCCCCTCTGCAGTAGCAAAGGGCACAGGGAACTCGGTACAGGTGGAACACCAGAAGACAGGCTGTCAGCTCCAGCTAGGGGTGGGGCGGGTCTGTGCCTAACATGTCCATCTGAGGGCACGGAGGAGGCTCGATGCTTAGAGCTGCGGAGGAAGGTACAAGGGGCTGGGGAGGGCATAGGGGAGGAGGGCACATGACCCTCTCACAGCAAAACCGCACAGACGGTCAGGCCGCACCTTGCGTTGCATTTAACTGAGGGGATTCAGTCACACACGCACTTGGCAAAAGAGAAAACAATGTCAGAGGAAGAAAAAGACTAGTGGCATACCATGGGACCACTTCATGAGATACATGGCACAGGGCGCACAGACATGCCATGGTTCCTCATGGGCCGTTTAAGGACTTGTCAAGGTTACTCTGGCAACAGACAGCTTTCTCCTCATTTGTGACTTCTGAAGCTCCCAGGAAAGCCCTGTGCCCCGAGCTTCCAGATTCCTCAGCACACCCCTCGCCCTCCCACAGTCCCTTCCGGGAGAGATGGGGACAGGCTGCTATGGTCACCTCTCACTGAGGCAGAGAATCAGCCCAAAGGTGAGCCAAGAGGCTGGCTTCTTAGTAAAAATAAATAAAGAAGTAGTAATAAGTAATATAACCAGGACCAACATTAGCTTAGTACAACATTACTTAGTGCATTCCAGAAAAATTAAATGAACCCTTTACCTTTTGATGAGCTGGACTTTCCAATAACTGCTGTTTTAATTTAACTTCTTTCTCTGTTATCTCTCTCATTTTAAGATTTACCTAAAGTGGAAGAAAAATGCGTTAACAAGGCAGTGTTTTCCCATGCTAGGATCCATGTCCCCACTTCACCCAGAGATCCTTCCTTACCGTTTCAGCCCTGCCCCCTAGACACAGGTGCAAACAGACTCGCTGTCTGATAGGCCCACTAGTCACTCAGACCTCCCAAATGCTAGTGATGTTTCTCTCTCACCACACAGCAGAATTGCTGGGTCCAGCAGTGTGCACTCACTAAGCATATGCCACTTCTAAAACAGCCAGGCTGAGACAAATCAGTAAACAGCCCCACTTGTAAAAGGTCATACATCCAGACTTTATAAAACTCACACTGAATAAAAATTATAATACAAGCTCTTAGAAATTTAACTATCTTCACCTATAATTATTAACCCAGTATCAAAAGTATAATTAAAAATATGGAGAAAAATACCAACCAATGCCTAAAGGGATATGGCAAAACCTATAATCAAATAAAAAGGAACAGATCTGAATGTTTTATCATTAAACAAGAAAACAGATCATGCAAATCAAGAAGAGAAAAAAACTTTTAAAACTAAGAAAAAGACAAAGGGAAAAAAATCAATGTAGATAAATGTAAAAAAAATCAATGATTTAGAAAGCAGAAAAAAGGACAAATAAATCCATAACCTGTTTGTAAGTATAATTAAAACAGTTATTGGGCCGGGCTCAGTGGCTCAGCCTATAATCCCGCACCTATGGGAGGCTGAGGTGAGTGGATTGCCTGAGCCCGCGGGTTCGAGACCCGCCTGGGCAGCGAGACCTCATCTCTACAATAAATCAAAAAATCAGCCGGGCATGGTAGCGCATGCCTGTAATTCCGGCTACTCGGAAGGCTGAGGCGGAAGGATCGCCGGAGCCCAGCAGGTCGAGGCTGCGGTGGCCGGGAGCGAACACTGCACTCCAATCTGGGCGACAGAGTGAGACTCCAACTCAAAAACAAAAAACAAAACAAAAAAAAAAACAGTTATTGGGAATGGGTGTGATGGAGTGCACCTGTAATCCCTGCTACTTGGGAGGGAGGCCAAGGCAGGATGATCACTTGAGCCCAGGAGTTCGAGGTCAGCTTGGGGAACGTAGCGAGATTCTGTCTTTAAAAAAAAAAAAGCCAGGATCAATGGCTCAGCCTGTAATCCCGGCACTTCAGGAGGCCAAGCTGAGTGGATTGCCTGAGTCTGTGGGTTTATCGCCAGCCCGGGCAACTTAGCGAAACCTCCTCTCTACAATAACATCGTTTAAAAAAATTAGCTAGGCATGGTAACTCATGCCGGAAGTTTCGGTTACTTAGAAGGCTGAGGCCAAAAGGTCACCGGAGACAAGCAGGTCAATGCTGGGGTTGCCATGAGCATGCCACTGCACTCCAGCCTGGGCAACAGAGTAAGATTCCAACTCAAAAAAAAACCAAATCAAGAAAATGAGAGTGCCAACATACAACATGAAACAAACAGTCATATTTTTGGATGAAAGTAAAAACCATTTTAAAAAAATTTAGTAGAGATGAGGTCTCACCGAGTTACCAGTGATGGTCTTGAACCCGCAGGCTCAGGCAATCCACTCACCTCAGCCTCCCAAAGCACTGGGATTACAGGCTGAGTCACCGAGCCCAGCAGTAGAAACCATTTTTAAAGTACTATGTAAAATTATACTCTTCTTAAAATGCAATTTGAAAATTCTGATGAAATAAACATCTTAAAGGAAAATATAAGTATAAATGTAATAATATATTTTTTTAAATATATATTTACATACATATGATAAATTTGTTATACATTTTTAATAAACTTATATATTATAAAATATATATTAAATACAGAAATATATTTATTTAAGTATTAAATAAATATTTAAATAAAAATCTAGGAGACTAAACATCTGCCTATATCTCTGATCCCTGTCAAAACTACATAGAAAAGAAAATATAAGCCTTAGAATCCACAGGACAGGGAGACACCCCTTATCAACAAGGGTGCCTAAATGATGTATATTTGTATACCTAACCCTTAACTGTACCCCACAATTTTTTTTAAAAGATGTTTAAAAAAAAAAAGAATCCACAAGAAAGACAGAAAAACAGAGAGGAAGCTAAGCCACAGAGCCCATGGAACTCCCAGTGAGGCCAGCATGGGGAAAACAGATGCCAGGCAGAGACCTCCAGAGACCCCAAGACACCCCCTGAGGTAGAGATGGACTGCAGACAAGAGGATGAGCTGAAAGTGCTGAATTCTAAAGAACAGAGTGGAGGCAAGAACAATCAGTTCAGCCCACCCAACCCACACAGGACCCCAGCAGCACAGCAGAAAGAGCTCCATCTTCACCTGAAGACCCACCTGGACTTCCATACCCAGCTGTAATATCTCTGGAAAGTAGAAGCAAAATAAAACCTTTTTCAGAAAAGTAAAAAGCTGAGAGAACACAGCAGAGCTACCTATACACATAATACTGAAAGAAGCCAAGTAGGCTGGGGGAAAGCAATGCAGACCTTGCTCCCAGTGATTCTCAAAGTGTGGCCTGAAGTCCTGGGAATCTAAGACACCTCCAGGAACCAAATACAGTCAAAATGATTTCCATGAAAACACCTCCTCATGCACTGCCATCTGCATCAACGGTGCAGTGCCACAGCGTAAAGTTATGGACACCCCAGCATCCAGTAGCCCTGACCTCACCAGAGTCTTCTTCACTGACTCCTGAAGTTTAAAAAAGCCAACTTCACTTCAGACTCTTGATGAGGCAATAAAAGTCATACCCATATCAGTGAACCTCAGCCCTTCAATACAATTTCTGTGCACTCTGTGTGACCACATGGTCAGGAGGCACCAAGCACTCCTACTGTGCGCCAAAGGACAGCAGTAACTGTGGGGACACACCCCAAGCAGCTGAGCTGGCAGCTGAATCACCACACTGCAACCATCCAGAGGTGCACACATGGAAGCACTATTACAATCAATGAAGTGTTCTTAACACAATACACAGAAAACCAAGTCTGGCACTTAGGAAAACAACTATTTGTTTCCAGTGGTACCATATGAATTTCAGACAGAAATCAAAATTTTGGAAAACTTGTTTCTGCCACCAAAGCTAGACAGTGTCCTAATATATAATGGCTTTTCTGATAAGATTGGCAGCAGTATTAATGAATATAATCTTTGAAACTGTGTCATGAAATGTGACATTTGAAAGATCTACAGAATTCAGTGAGACAAGTATCCAAATGACCAAGGCATGTTATTGCAAAATAATAGGTGAGTAAAAGACCCAGGAAGAATGCAAGAAAGATAAGTGGATTTTAATATAACACAGTATGGGTGAATTCAGTGGCTCACACCTGTAATCCTAGCATGTTGGGAGGCCTAGGTGGGAAGACCGCTTGAGCCCAGGAGTCTGAGATCAGCCTGGGCAACATATCAAAATCTCATCTCTACAAAAAAATTTGAATAATCAGCTGGACGTGGTGGTATGTGTATGTAGTCCCAAATACTCAAGAGGCTGACACAGGAAGATCTCTCAAACTCAGGAGTTGAAGGCTGCAGTTAGCTGAGATCATGCCACTGCACTTCAGCTTGGGCAATAGAGTGAGATTCCCCAACTCAGAAAAAAAAAACAAAAATGTGGCATTATTCACAATATCCACAAAGTGCAAACAACACAAATGTCTATCAATTGATGACTGGATAAACAAAATGTAACTGTAGGATGAAGCATCACTCAGCCATGAAAAGGAGTGAGGTACTGACACAGGTTAAAACATGGACTAGGCCGGGCTCGGTGGCTCAGCCTGTCATCCCGCACCTTTGGGAGGCTGAGGTGAGTGGATTGCCTGAGCCCACGGGTTCGAGACCCACCTGGGCAGTGAGACCTCATCTCTACAATAAATCAAAAAATCAGCTGGGCGTGGTAGCGCATGCCTGTAATTCCGGTTACTCGGAAGGCTGAGGTGGAAGGATCGCCGGAGCCCAGCAGGTGGAGGCTGCGGTGGCTGGGAGCGGCCACTGCACTCCAGTCTGGGCGACAGAGTGAGACTCCAACTCAAAAAAAAAAACAAAAAAAAAAAACATGGACTAGCCCTAGAAACACCAAATGCAATGATAGAAGTCAGACAAGAAAGACCACGTGCTGTGTGGTTTCATTTATAAAAATGCCCAGACTGGGCAAAGGCAGAGACAGGAAGCAGACTGGGCTACATCTACACAGGTTGGAGTAGGGGGTGATGGTTGTGGGGGACAGAATTCCTTGGAGTAATAAAAATGTTCTGGAACTAAATAGTGATGGCAGCTATATAGTCTTATGAATGCATTAAAAACAATTGAATTATACACTTAAAACATAGTGAGTTTTATGGCACATGAAGTCCATTTCAATCATTTAGAAAGTTAATTGATGATGGTTTCAAATTCCACATTGTAATTAATCTTTGGGAAACTGCTGCTTGTCAAGTTTTGGTGTAGTATTAAGAAGAGATGAGAATACTTACCTCTAAACATTATGAAAATATTTCCCCCTTTTTCAAATATTTATCTGTATGAATCCAGATTTTCTTCATGTACTTCAATAAAAACAACATACTGTAACAGATTAAATGCAAAAGCCGGTAGGAGAATCCAGCTGTCTTCTAGTAAGCTGGACAGTAAAGAAACATATGCAATTATAAAATACTGCCACCTACTTTTTTATTTTGAAAAAGTTATTTTTCACTAAACCATTATTAATATTAATATGAAATTAGTTTGTTGCTACTTTAAATAAATATTTTAAATTTTTTTCTTATTTTCAATTTCTAGTATGGCAAACATGTCCTTAGAGGTCTACAGTAATTTTTAAGAGTGTAAAGAGGTATTGAGACCAAAAAGTTTAATACCCTCGATCTATATACAAAGAAATGAAGAACAACAAAAATGGAAAATATGTGGGTAAATACTCACTCATAAGCAGACCTTGAACAATGACTTTTGTCCTCAATTTTAAACTACTTCAAAAGATAAAAGAAAGCC